ATAGATCTATCTGCCTACTGATAACTGTAAGCACTGTACTTTGGCTGGTGGGTAGTAGAAAACCATTGGGAAGGTAGGAACTGAGCTTACAGGTGCTTTACTAAAGAGATATTTAATGTGCTCTTATTTACAGGAAAGAGGGCTCTTGTATTTGTATTCTGGATTTTTCTCTCCAGCAACGTTTGCATATATTCATAAAGTGTACTGGACTTCCTGCATATGCAACAGACCTTGTTGTCCTCCTATTGTAGATCTATCCTGTGTTTCATAGAAATGCCACATTTGCTACATTAGAACATAGTGTCATTTATGTCTAAGACATGCAAAGAAGCCTTTCTAACTAAAAATATCAAAATTATTGTGAAAAATTTCACCAGAGAGACCAGCAATCTAGACCAATCTGTAAAGCCTGTTTGGGCCAAATTTCAAGGGGAGGAAAAGAGAATGCCTGGGAAAACTCAAGAATAACCCAAGGAAATGTATAGGTGAAAGGAACTTTCGTGGATTAACCCCAGCCAGCAACTAAGTACCAGGCAGCCACTCGCCCACTCCCTGCCTCTACTCTCCAGTAGGAAGGAGAATCAGAAAAAAAGTAAAGCTCATGCATTAACTGCAGTTTAATTATTGAAAAAAATACAATAGTAATAGTAATAATAATAATGGCCAGACTTCGCGAACGAAGATTTTGGGAAAGGTCTTTTACTTTCCAGCCTGCGCAATGGATTTTTTAGGTGAGACACAGCATGCGCTGAACTGAGCCCACCCTTTAATCCTAAGGTTCATCTGCCGGGGCCAAGCAAGCTTGGACAATGGCAGTGAGGTCCTCAGGACGTAGGTTTGTTTAGAGTGACCTTCTCATAGATGGATGGCCTTACAGGGCTAACGGGCTCCATCTGCCTGGGGGACCGAGAAAAAACAACAAAACAATAATAATAGTAATGAGAAGGAGAGAGAGGAATGAATCTGCGATTCTATGAATAAGTGAAACAAGTCATACACAATACAGTTGCTTACCATATGCCCATCCTGTCCCAAAGCAGCGATTAGCCCCTTCTGGCCAACTCCCCCAGTTTATAAACTGGGCATGACATTCTGTGGTATGGAATATCCCTCTGGTCAATTCAGGTGAGCTGTCCCAGCTATGCTCCCTCACAGCTTCTTGTGCACCTCCTCGCTGGCAGAGCATGGGAAACATGAAATGTCCTTGATTTAAGGAAGCACTACTGAGCAACAACCAAAACATCAGTGTTACTGACATTACTCTCATATTGAACCCCAAACACAGCACTATGCCAGCTACTAAGAAGAATATTAACTCTATCCCAGCCAAAACCAGGACAGGGGGTGATGCTGGTAGAAAATTATTGTGGGAATTTAATCCTGCTGTTTATTATGGATCTGAAATTGCTAAATTGTAGTGGGTCATAAAGTAGCTCTAAGTTATAAATTAAAGTATGGTGATGTAGAAGTGACCCAGAAAGTCTGATTACCTTTCAAACCTCCATAGGGAGGTTTGATTCTGCTGGTTTTGGACAGACAAATCTAAAATAAAGATATCAGACTTTGAAATTCAGTAGGCTAATTTTCCTAAATTAGGACAATTCTTCTTTAATTTACAGCTCGAAGAACACTTGTGTTACAGTTTCACACAGAATCAGTGTGCTCAAGACTAACATGATATTTACTGAGGGGTGTAGAATTTTTTGTGTGCTTCCTTTAAGAGAGTTTTTCAGAAGATTTTTGCGTAAAAATGTATATTTCTGTTGTATCTTAAATTCTCAAGATATAATCTCAGGTAAAATGTGAGTTACTTTCATGAAATCAGTGTTATTCTTTATCTTGCATGAAAATGTATTGAGAAATTTTCCTCTTAGTTATATTCTTTGATTGTTGTAAACCTGAGGATGTAAAATTTAGATGGGCTAATAATGAGTTGTAGGTGATGATATCTATCTGAAGTTGTCCCATACAAAGCAGCCATTGTGGGGCTTTCATTCCAAAACTTACTTTCCAGCATAGTGTAACCTTATTGTTTAAAACTTTTATCATGCACAATTTGTTTTGCTCCATGTAACATAATGATTTTAAAATTTTAATCAAGTAAAAACTACCATCATATTGACAGGGTTTTTAAAATAACATATATCTCCCACCCTGCCTTAGATTAATTAAATGTAATTATTTAAATGAAATTATGAGACTTATTTATGGATATTTGTTTCATTCATTTTTTGGTGCTTTTCATTTTTTCTTGATGAAATACTCAATTTCTTTATTTACTTGAATACTGCAGAAAAACATGCTGCTTGAAATTCAGCAGTGGATCAGTTAGAAGGACTTTGACAGAAGACTGAGACTATATAATATTTGATGTTGCTATGGGAAACTGCTTTGCAAGAACATTTGCAGAGCAGATGGACCACGATAAATAAAATAGATACAGGTAGATAGATGAATAGATATTGTTTAATGTTCTGTGCAAAAACAGGAAAACAGGAACTTTAATCTATGTAACATAGTTCTTTGATTCACCCTCTTTTTAACGGATATGCTGTTTGATATGAGCAGTTCTATAGTGAAGTTTTCCTATAAATTTTATTTTCAACAAATCAAAGAAAATTTCAGGTTTTTCTGCTTCATATTCTATGTTATGCAAAATAGTAACGTCCTAACTTTATGCTGTAATCTACTGCTTTTTGGGATAGTCTCTAAAGATACATCTAAGCACACAAACACTATGGAATGAAAAATCTTTGTGTTTCAGATGTTATAATTTCGTTAGCTTCACATGCTCTTGAGTGTTGAGAGCTCTTCTGTAACCTTATACACTAGCTTTTCTTCCTTGATTTAAAGAATAAAAAGGACAAGATACATACCCTGTTTAAGAACTAGAATGTCTCTGTAATCATGTGTTTGGCACAGAAGTTTGTTTCCATAGTAACATGAACACAAAAGATATCCCTGTGACGATATACATAAAATGTACCTTTGAATGAGTATATATGTACAGAAACATGCTGTTTGTTTACCATGTATTCTTTGTTCTCCCTGGCAGTGAATAAAAGAGGCATGTGCTGTTTGCTTTTTCTTTAAGGAAATAGGTCATTAGAGAATTTGAAATATAATTTCTAGTCATATCTTTTCAACAGCTCAAATTCTAACTTGTGAAAAGAAAATCTTATGGAAAAAGAAAAGCTTAATCTACTCCCTTGAAGATGTATGATTTGAACTGCTAAAGGTTTTTTCCTTCTAAATAATATATTGACTACAAAATATTTCTTAGAACTTTCTACAATCTAATTATGCTTCTCTTCTCATGAGTTATAAAACTTACTCCATGGGTTGATTACTCCACATGCTGTGGAACAGTTCTTTGGGTCATGCTGTCATAAACCCGTGAATGCTTACATAAGTGTTGGTGTTTTCATTTACTATGAAATACCACAAAATACCATTCCACTGAACTCCATACAGTTGATTCACATTTTTGGTGTGCATGTTATCCAATTTTTTTGAGTAGTCAATGTTTGTTTGCTTTTTCAGTATATCTTTCTATTATGACACGAAATACATTTGATATATTTGTTGTTAATCCATTTTAAAAATCAAATGTGAATATCTGCCTGAAGTTCTACGTTTATGTATATTTGCTTTCTCATGGGAAACTGGGAGAGTTAGAAGCAGGAATTATAGAGGAAAATTTTTGTCTTTTACAATCACAGAATCACAGAATCATTAGTGTTGGAAGGGGCCTCTGGAGATCACCTAGTCCAACACCCCTGCCAAGGCAGGGTCACCTAGAACAGGTTACAGAGGAACGCATCCAGGTGGGTTTTGAATGTCTCCAGAGAGGGAGACAATGAACTGGATCAGAGCATCTGAATTTTTTCTGTTGCCTTTAATCTGTGATTGTAAAGTCTTGCGATTAATATCAGAGAGGCCAAAAGTCATATTGGCATTTATTAGGCTCAGGGTTACTATATGTTGCTAGCTTTCAGCTATAACCTTTTTATGCCTTTTACACTAGCTAAAGCACAATGAGGTTGATTGTACATTTTTTTTCCCATGCATCATGGAGAAGAGATTTCATGGGTGATTAATTTAACCTCTTTTCAATTTATTTTAAGCAAAGACCAGTTAAATAAAACACTTTACAGAATCATAGAATTGTTGAGGTTGGAAGGGACCTCTGGAGATTTCCCAGCCCCCTGGTCAAAGCAGGGTCACCTAGCACATATTGCCCAGGTCTATGTCCAGTTGGGTTTTGAATATGTGCAAGGATGCATATGTATCTTGCGCAACCCATGCCATTGGTTGACCACCCTCCCGGGAAAAAAAAGCCCACAACATTAAGTGGGGTATCTTGTACTTAATTTATGCCTGTTGCATCTTTTCCTTTCACTTGATACCATTGCCTTCCTTACTCTGCCCCCAACCAGGTATTTGTAAGCATAGAACAGATTCCTCTTAGTCTTCTCTTCCAAGGCCTCCATCTCTCATACCCTCTCCTTACACAAAAGGTTCTCCAGTCCTTTAATTACCTCCATGGTCTTTTACTGGCCTTGCTCCGCTAAGTTTATGTCTCTCTTTTACTGGGTAGCCCAGGACTGAGCCCAGTGTTCACGATAGCTTACCAGTGCTGAGTAGAGTAGAAGGATCACTTCAATATGCTGATGATGCTCTTCCTAATGCAACCCTGATAGCTGTGTGCCGCCTTTGTTGTGAGGGCACATTGCTGGCTCATGGCCAGCTTGTTGTCCCTCAGGTCCTTTTCTGCCAACATGCGTGGGATTATTCCTGCCAAGTGCAGGAATTTGCATTTCCCTTAGTCGAATTTCGTGAGGTTACTGTTGGCCCATTTCTCAGCCTGTCAGGGTCTTTCTGAGTAGCAACACAACCCTCTGATGTATCGAATACTCTTAGTTTTGCATTATCTGTGCACTGTATCTCACCTTGCAAGTTATTGATGAATTTCTACTGAAATTTTTGTGTTTCATCAGTTTGTCAGGGAGAAGACAATGGGAGGTTCTGAGAGAAACATTATTTAAGTCAAGATAAGCAATGTTCAGTGCTCTCTCCTTGTCCACTGGGTCAGCCTTCGGTCAGCCTTCTTTTTGTGAAAGGCTATCGGGTTGGTCAGGCACAATTTCCCCTCCATATATCCATGCTCAGTCTGCCCAAACAACTTCTTATCCCACTTGTGTTTGGTAATGGTTTTCAGGTTTAATTTCTCCATTCCTTTCCCAGGAGTCAAGGTGAGCTGTGACTGACTTTCTTTAAAGTAGAGATGATATTTATTTTCTTCCAGTCCTCAGAGTTTCCTCCCTCCACCCTGATCACTGTGACCTTTTTTGATGTTTCTGTGGTTGAGTGCTCTCACGATGACATCAGCCAGTGCTCAGTAAATGTGGGTGCATCTCATTATGGCTTGTGGATCTGTGTGTGTCCATTTTGTTTAAATGCTTCCTAACCTGATCCTCCTCCACTGAGAGGAAATCTACCTTGCTCCAGGCTTTCCCACTGGTCTCAGGGACCTGAGATTGCTGAGGGATGGTTTTCTCGCTAAAGAGTGAGATGAGAAAGGCATTCAGTGTGTTGGCCTTCATATCCTTTGTGAGGTCTTCATCAGCAGTGGGCCACCATTTTCCATAGTCGTCCTTATGCTGCAGATAACACCAGCAGAAACATTTTCTGTTTCCTTTCATGTTCATGTGAGCTATTTACCCATATCTGTGATCCCAGTGAAGTTGTCATTCTCCAACTGCATGCACCTCTTAATTCCACCTGTTCCCTATGCTGTATGCATTAGTGTACAGGCTCTTTGGAGAGCTGATTTCCTGGAAAAGGTAGGCTGGTAGGCTTACAGATTTCCTCCTGTTGACATTGCCGGATACTCTTTGCTTGCCAACCTGGTCCTTCACTTCCTCTTTTGATTGCTGGTCATCTTCTCCTAACCCTGTTATTCCTAGTTTGAAATTCTCATTACTAGATTGGCCAGCCTGTTGGCAAAAACATTTTTCTCCACTTATGTGGACAACATCGCTGCTAAACAATCCTCTGTCCTCGTAGAACATCCCATGATCATGTGAAATCCAAACCCCTGTTGCCCACACCAACTGCTCAACTAATTGTTGACATGTGGGATCTGTCAACTTCTTCTTCACTCTTCTGCTTTTCTAAAAGCATTGAGAAGAAAACTGCCTGAGCTCTCCATGCTGTTGACACCCCTGCCCCCACACTCCCTAACAACCCCCCCCACATACACAAACAGCAATGTAGTAAATGTTAAGTGTTTTGTCTATTGTACTCTTTTGTGAGCAAATTTATGTAAAAACGTTGCTGGAGAACTAATGATATGTTTTGGCTTTTTTGTTTTATTAAGCTTTATTTATTCTTGAATGTTTTTCTGCCAATGCTGTATGGGTTGGCTGGTTATAAAAAGGCTTTTTCGACTAGTGTGGTTGACAGAGGGAAAATCATGTATGATTTTCCTGTGCTCAGGAAAATCAAGGATTAATCTCAAATCAATCTGAAATTCTACAGAAAGATTGATGGTTATCAGTATCTGGTGAAGAATATGATAAAAATTGTTTAAGACTACCTTTCAATTCCAGAATTTTTATTGTAGGTTGGATCATCTGGAAGACACCAGCATAAAACATTATCCCAAACCTTGCTTCATAGCATGTTTTAAGACAATGAAATAGACACTATTTTAACATTCTAGCTGGTTTCACGTGTCTTGTTTCTGTTTGTTCTAGGAAATGAACCCAGGAAGTAATGTGAAGGGTCATGTGAAGCTCTGTCATAGCAGAAATTTTCTAAAAGATTGCTTTACCTGTAAGTTCTTCTTTTCTGTTGTTAAATGTTAAATTATATTGTACAATGAGGAAAAAAAAAAGAGTTTATTTTGAACTGGACTTGCAGCTTGATTGTGAAGAATATCTTACCAAATACATTACGTTTAACACCTACTATTATTAACTTTATATTTTAGGGAAGAGCAAGCAAACGTTTTTCTTTTTATTGAGGTTTTGAATCTAATGACCAAGATTTTCATGCTGAGTCGTTATAGGTTATACATCCACTGTGATGCATGCTAAACTGCAAGAGCTTATTTTTCAGAAATTCGTTTAAAAGCAAATGAAAGGTGAAAATCATCCAAACTCGTATGAGAGTGTGAAACTTTATCACTAAAAGTTCTTTAGCAAAGATTGCGTATGCGGATACCTGTTGTGACTCAGACATCTTTGGTTTTCAGAGTTATTAAATTATATGATAGTGCCCTTTACAGTTGTGTCACTTGTGGCAAAGAATTTTCTTCAAGCTACAGTGAACTCATTAAATTTTACATATATCTCACAGTAAACTCCACTTAGAAATTTAAACTGTTGTTTTCATCTCAACTCTAATTGTCTACATCAAAATATTTGTCTTCCTAGCAATATTGCAAGAAAAAGTATTAAAAGATCCGTTTTACATAAAGAGCCAAAAACATTAGGCTTGATTTTGACAGATACCCGTAGGTGGGGGTAGAACTGAGAGCAGAATTCTGAAGTTCTTAGTCCCCATCAAGTGGTATAATTCAAAAATATATAGATAGGCGTAAAAAGCGTATAATGAAGGACATTGGGAGTTTGCAAACTAGAATTTAGGCAGTATATTAGTTTTCTCCCTTTTGTATGTAATTGTCATGATTTGACTAAACATCAACTAGATATCAAGATCTTGAAAACTTTAAGGAAGAAGGTACTAATGAAAAATGTTTCAAAATTGATAATAGCAGTTTTAAAAAACTTTAAAAAAAAAATAATTTCAGAATTTTTTCCTTATCTAGCACTCTATGTTAAAGTAGCAGCAAAGTCTATACATGGGCAGCACAAGTAATTTAGTTTGACATAAAACCTGCAACAAAATAAAAACTTAGAAACACTAGTCTTCCACAATTCAAGTTCTTTATCAAGTTTCAGAAAATAGTCTTCCACAATTCAAGTTCTTTATCAAGTTTCAGAAAATAGTCTTCCACAATTCAAGTTCTTTATGAAGTTTCAGAAAATGTCTTGATGTTTATTTATTGACCTCATCACTCTCTTCAACTACCTGAAGGGAGGTTATAGCCAGGCGGGGGTTGGTCTCTTCTCCCGGGCAACCAACAATAGGACAAGGGGACATGGGCTCAAGCTCTGCCAGGGGAGGTTTAGGTTAGATGTTAGGAAGAAATTCTTTACAGAGAGGGTTATCAGGCATTGGAACAACCTACCCAGAGAGGTGGTGGATTCACCATCCCTGGAGGTTTTTAAAAAGAGATTGGACGTGGCCCTTAGTGCCATGATATAGTAATTGGAGTTGGATCAGGGGTTGGACTTGATGATCTTGGAGGTCTCTTCCAACCCTACCTATTCTATGATTCTATGATTCTATGATTTCTGATTTTTTTCAAAAAGTACTTCTTTGTCTCAGTATTTCTTTACTGCTCTGATGTAACTTGAGACAACCATAAATTAGGTACAAATACAAGAAAATCTGTTAGAAATTAGAATCTTAATTCTGCACTTTGAGTTGTAAAGTAAAAACTGAACATTATTGTCTTTCTTGTATTAATATTCACACAGTACTGGTGCAACTTCAGCAATTGCCCTGTGTTATCTTAACTATATTAAAATGACTCTGATGATGTGCATTTCCTTTGGTTTTATCAAAGAATTTAGAGCGGCTATTTTAGGATAATTCAAGGAGACTTTTACAATTAGTTGAGTAACTGCTGCTCTGATAATGCTGTCTTAATAACTGAATTTGTTAGATTTTCAGTATTATTTAGCACTAGTCAGACAAGTGGATTTCCAGCATCATAATGGTAGCCTTAAAAAAACCCTACACAAACTGATAAGAGCTAAGATTGAGTTAGAACTGTCTAATATATTTCAATTTTGTCTTCTCTTTCAAGTAATTGCTCTGTTCATGTCTTCATGTCTCCCTGAGAAATCCAAGTATTTTATTTGTGTGTACCTGTAGATATAGAAGTGTGTGTCTGCAGATCTGTATCAATTAGAGGTATTTATATTCATTGAAGATAAGACAACATTTGGGACAAAAGTACAGAAGTGACTTGGAAAATTCTTAGGTGATAACATGGAGAAAAGTCTTTGACAGGATGCAAACCTGTTGTATTGCACACTGAGCAATAAAGTACATTTGCAGCCTCCCAGACAACAAATGCATTATTTGGAGTCCTGCAAATATGCTGATTTCTGTCTGATTTTAATACTGTGACTGCGTTTGAAGACAAAATAGCAGAAAAATCTATTGCTATATAGTTATAGACAATTTTGAAGTCTAGTTAAAGAGCTGGCAATATGTAAGCATACTTCCTACTGAAGACTGCAATTGTTTTTATAATTCAGATATTCAATCATTATATTGGTATAAATATACATATATATATATATAAACAGAATATATATATATATATATATAAAACCAGAAAAATCAACATAGAGATGAAAAAGGATGATATTATTACTACTACTATTATTATTTTCTGAGCACAGTTTGCTACAAGAGAGAGAAATCTAATATTTTTAACCATCAGATAGTTCCAACTTATTTTTCTCAAGTCTTTTTGTTAGAAATAATTCCATACTGTTAATTGTATATTGATTAAAAGTCTTTCTGTTATAAATTTATTGTACTGGGTAGTATTCCAAATAAATTAATCAGTGTTGTAAAACTAGCTGTCATGACATACAGACATATAACTGTATAACTCATTGAGATTTGTAGATCGTGGTGGCAATTAATTATGATCGGGTTTGTAATGATTATATTTTTCTCCCAAAAGGAATTTGCATGTGTTATTTGTATTAATGTTAGCTGGTGAACAAATCGTAGCATCATAGAATAGTTTGGGTAGGAAGGGACCTTAAAGATCATCTAGTTTCAACTCCCCTGCCAGGGGACAGGGACACCTTCCACTAGATTAAGGTGAACAAAGCCTCATCCAACCTGGCCTTGAACAATTCTTGTGATGGGGCTCCCATAGCTTCTCTGGACAATCTGTTCCAGTGCATCACCACCCTTTGAGTAAAGAATTTCTTCCTAACATCTATTCTAAATCTCTCCTCTTTTAGTTTAAAACCATTCCCCCTTATCCTATCATTAACCACTTGTGTAAAAACTCACTCTCCCTCTCTTTTATAAGCTTCCTCTAAGTACTGAAAGGGCACAAGTAAGAAAACAGGAATATTTTTCTACTTCTCCGCCCCCCCCGCTAGATTGTTCTATGTTAAGCTAGTCACAATCAAAATAATATTTCTGTCCTGTGCTTCAGGTATCTTGATATGTTCTTAATAAGTAGTACTACAAAGCCTACTTCCATATTTTTTTAGAAGAACCAGAATTTCAAAATATGATAGCCTTTCACCATGACAGAAATTTAAGAGTACAATCATTATGTTTACACATTAAATTGTTCCTCTTTATGAAAGGCATGTTTGCTGATGAGTTCACCTTTTTCTGTGAATAGTTCCCTTGCTGGATCTCTGGAGAACTTAGCTTTTTTTCCTATTCTTCTCATGCCCTCTGAAAAAAGAGATCTGAAATCTTCTCTGGATTCCACTGACAATACAGAGTTGGGTCAATTTTTTGGAGATCCTGATGAGAGTCTAGTGCAAGTAGGGAAAAAGGTGAAACTAACCCAGTTAAAAAGCAAAAACACCCTACCAAAACCAGGAGTAAGAATTGAAGTGATGTCTGTAGAAACTAGTAAAGAATAGCATAGATTTTTTGTTGTAGAAAATTCCAAGACCCTAAGAGCACATTAATTTCCAAGGAGTGTCTTGCACAACTCTAATTAAGGTTTCAGTGATCTCTGAGTATTGAATCTGCCACTGCTCTCCCCATGCCTGCCTTTTGTCTTTCTGAACTAAACTTAGACTTGAACTTTTATATCATATGTTACCTGGCATAAGTTTTCATGTTGGCTTCGGTGAATATATTCGGGGGATACAAGTTATAGCTGTAGCATTTTTGCATACTGTAAGCATCTTCCTGATAATAAGCTTGTATGGTGCTAACTTGCAGAGTAAGGAGAATAGAATTATTGTAAAGGTCTTTCATCTTTTGCTTTATTACTTATTAAGTAGAATTTTTTTTTAATAAGGGGTCTATTGAGGAATATAAATAGATATATCTGAACTGATGACACTAAGAAATACAACAGCTGTCCCTGTTGTTGCTTGATAATTTGCTTTGCTGAGGTATAATTTCATGCTTTGTTAAAATCAGACAGATATTATCTATGATTTGCTGAAGGTGAAATAAGAGAACAGGCTCTGTGAAAATTCTATGTTTTTAAAAATATATTCTACCTAATACTCACTGAAAGTAGTGGTCAGGAAAAAATGTCCTATGAGTTAAATATGTTGACATAGTAAAGAGCACTGATGAAACTAAAACAAAATATTTTATTCTTTATGGACAGTATGCAGTCAATGTTTTCTTTAGGCATAAACTTCCTAAATCTCAGGTAGTGTCAGAATGCATGTGCTAGTGAACATGTGCACAGCATTCATAAGCCACCAGCCATGGCTTTATTAGCTGTTGAACATAAGGAAAACTGGAGAATCATGTGAACTGCCTTAGAAATTAAGAGGTTGATAGCTTCTCAGGGAATTAGCAGTGCCAAATTTGAAAAAGTGCTGTTGGGAAAAAAAAAGGCACACAAATAAAAAAAAAATATTGCAAAGAATTCTCAGGAACAGAAGAGAAGGTACTCTGTTTTGATGAATTAAAAAAAAAATTTGAGGTTCAATGAGAGAAAAGGGAGGGAACGATACAAGCCA